TCGGGTTGGCATAGATTTTTCGCCGGAATGTCGACCAGAGCCTAGGCGAGTAAGAGAGGTGACACAGTCGGAAGAAGTGTTAGTTTGTTTACTAAAATGAACCGCCCATTTGATAAAAAAAATGCAGTTTTGTAGCTTATTTGAAAGATACCTTGAGTTAGTAGTAAGTTTTCTGGCAAATGTTAGGGGTTCGTGAGCATTCCTGACATTGCTGAAAATTATGATAGCATCAGATTGCGGGGTTGCTAGTGTAATAGGATGCTTTGTTGATTGTTCATTAACTCTTGATTGCTTGTAATACTTATGAATATTTTAGGTGGACAAAAAGGCGAACTTAGCGGTGGACGCCTGAGCTTTTCCACATTTATATCGCTGTGAAGCAACTGTAAACTCTAGAGGGAATTTATATCTGTAACTGAAACCAGTTCGATTTTGTTTGGCAACCTGGTTAAAATGTCATATTCAATTATCTTAAAGATACATCGTCCAGCTCAAACCTTTGTAGGGGTAAGAGGTGGGACCATCATCATCATCATGGCAAGTTTTGCTATAAGAATTGTTCCTCGTGATTATTAGCGAAATTCACACCAAAGATTGATTAATTGCATAGGAAATCAGTTTAGCACGGCATTTGTGACCAGCATACACCGGTCGTATGAAACAGGTCAAAAACTGTCCAAATCCACAGATACAATTTTTTGTTTTGAATTTCTGTATGGCAAAATAGTGAACTTTTTGTGAACATTAACGACAAAGAACTAACCAACACTCGGAGACGGTGAGTTCCTGCCCACCTGTGATTTCCCATCCCGGACCAGAGCTAACCCTCCTTGTAAAGAAAATTACACATCAATCTTAAACAAATCTCTTTAGGAAAAGCATCAAAATTTGCATTTTCCTGCGTATGGTATTCAAAATACAGTCATTTTTAGAGCACATTAAAACCCTTAATACTACCTGTTAATACAGTACAAATTTGATCAAAATGCCTTCTAATGTGAAATATCAGCGCGTTGTACACCGTTCTCCCCTACAATATTAGTTTGGATGTGCTGATTTCACTAGACCTGTGCGCCGATCAAAATATTTTCGGCGGCGGCGTGATATGTTATTTTCTGCCGGCGGCGGCGGCGTTGTGGCGTGGGTCGTTGTGAGTTTATTTCAACTGATTTAGAAAAAAAAAATACTGTCCAAACCAATCGCACATGGACAAAAAAGCTACCCATATTTGATTTCAGATTACTGAAAATCGGTAAAACGTAGATCACTCATAGCTGGAGAAAAATTTCTGACACTTTCCCGGGGAAAACTTCTCGAATATGGGGAAAATTAAGAAAATTGTACACTGGTTAGAAGTGTACTTGAAGATCGATTAAAACCACAATCAGTTTTCCTCATATTCGAGAAGTTTTCCTCGGAAAAGCGTTGGAAAATTTACTCCTACGATTTCGCGAATTTGAGTACCCTGAACTCTCATGCTTCGTTAGTATGGTGGCCAAAATCAAAAGAGGCTACTGCACAGAGGAAACTAGCAAAACATCAACGTCTAGCATGCATTGCAATAACGGGTGCAGTGCATCAAAAGCATTAGAAGGTATCCTCAATCTGCTGCCCTTGCATGAACATGTGCAACTAGAAGCGGAAAGAAGGGCTCTAAGGCTCAAAAGATCTTAAAAAATAATGCCAGGTGATCTTGTTGGTCATCTAAGCATCTTACAATACTTCCGAAGAGGACCAGTGATGAGTATGAATGCAGACTGGATGAAACCAGAGGACAACTAAATGGCACGTTCAGGTTGGGAAACTGGTGGTCCTAGCGTTCGTCAAGGCTCAATCATATTTTTCACAGAGGGCACAAAAATTGGAATACGAACAGATGCAGGAATCTTTGGCCCCGGGACAAATATTTCAGTTGCGATGGGACATTTTCCAAACGTGTTTTAAGCGAACCATACTGTGGAATATCATATTGTACGGTAAAAATGGAACTCAAATGCTGGGAAGAGCAAAGGGTGATGGCCAATCGCACATGCACAAACTGCAACCAGTCGAAAAGGTTTATAACTCCTAATATAACATACACCAAAAAGCTCTTAGAACTCAATAAAAGAGCTCTTAGTATATACACTGGCCTAGTAACTGAGCACTGCCCTAGTAGATATAACATGAAGAACATTGGTCGGGTTCAGAGTAATATCTGTCGTTTCTGTAATTTGGAACGTGAAACCTCGGGCCATCTGTTCTGCAGTTGTGGTGCATTACACAAGCGTAGATCCAAATTTCTTGGAAGTATTAGCTTACAACCTAGTGATATTTAGTCTGCAAATCTTGGAAAGGTAGTTGGTTTTATAAACCATATTATACCGAACTGAGAAAAGATGTGTCCAGGCAATTAGGTGTCTACTCGTTAAATAGTGGTCGATTTGCATGATACAAACAGCAAATAGGGGTACCACAAAAGTTCAAGCAATGAAGTGCTTGTTGGTGAAGTCGTTTTGCAAAGTATTACAACCCTTCTATTAACTATAAGAAAAGTACGTTATGTAGGGGTGGATAGTATTTAAAAGCAATCTGTTGCATTACGTAACATTTTAATGGGTGCTAGGAATTCTCTCATTTATTGAGCATTACACGTTATTAAAATGTTGATAGCGATAAATGATATGCTTGTACTACTCTGATACATATTTGAATGCACACGCATTGTAGTCATACAACTTTTGGTTTATGTATTTGAAGCACAACTTGGCCCTGTAAGAGATTTTAAAAAAGCTCAAATATCAACGTGTTGTTAGTAGTATAGGGTGTTGCAGGATGTCTAAGCACGATTTGAAAAAACGATAACGTTGTTTACAGCAAATTCGATTTTTATTTCGTTTTCATGTTCTCTATAGTATTCTCTTACAGTTAAACGTAGCTTTAGTCCAAAAATTTTGGATGCTTTTTCCCAGTCTTTCTCAAACTTTGTAACGGAATCCGCTGCCTTTACATGTGTCCGCAAATATGCTTTGGTCAGGGCCCAAAAAGTTTCGATTGGTCTGGCCTGGGGACAGTTTGGCGGATTCATCTCCTTGGGTACGAATTGGACCTTGTTGGCTTTATACCAGGCTATCGTGTCCTTGGAGTAATGAACCGACGTCAAATCCGGCCAATGCAGTACTGAGGCGCCGTATTTACGGATCATGAGCAACAGACGCTTGTTTGAACACTCACGCACTTAAACATCGGTTGTCATTGTCTCCGTTGTGACAAGCGGTTTGGAAAGCATACCACACGCACAAATGGCTTGCCCATAGCATATTTACCGATTTTTTCGGAAAAAATCTACTTATCCGCGTCATCAACACTTCGGCCATCACGAACGGTCTAGTACTGATCACTAGGAAGAGTTTTGTAATCAAATTTAACGTATGAATCAACGTCCATAATCTCGAACACCGATTTTCCGCACAGCAACTGGTCGTATAAGCATTTTTGACGTTCTCGGAATAGCCTTTCTCTATCTAGCATACATGGATGAATGAACGGTTTCTTTTCCCACTAATCTGTTTCCCTCTTGCTCGTACTCGTTAGATTTAAATGGTGTAGTAGTGTGCGCCGATTAAACGTCAAAAAGCTCTATAACTTCCGAGCAGGTTGGCCAGACCTACCGATTTTCAATATGCGTACCGATTCACAGACAAAAGGGTAAAAACTACCGATTTTTCACTTTTCCTACCGAGAATGACAGATTTTTAGTAATCTTGAAAAATATTCAATACCTATGAGTTGTTTTCCTTGTAGTCAGAATTAGCATTAGAATTAGAAATATTAATTTCGACACGTTCAAAGCAGAAGAACTGAAGGACAGTCATGACATCAGTTACATTGGACGATTTTTTCTCAATGACATAATCAATTAGTATTACACAGATTTCAGAGTAGAATACCTAACTTTAGATTGGCCCCGCCTTTGGAAAATGAGCACCAATCATGTTAGGCAGTCTGAATGACCGAAGTAACAATCATATACCCATCATTTCAAACTGTACATTGGACAATTTTTTAACAATGATTATTTTAAATAAATGAAAGTAAATTTGTATGGATGTTTTTGTATCACATACAATGATAGGAGAGCAATAGTTTGTATCACTTAATTCGATTTGTTTACATTTGTTACATTGGTCTATTTGAAAAGTGACGCGAGATTTTTCATCGGCGTGACATAAATTTATTCGGCGGCGTGGAAGATTTTACTTAGGCGGCGCGCCGGCTTAATTTCATCGGGGGCGGCGGCGTATGAAAATCGTCGGCAGCGGCGGCGCACAGGTCTAGATTTCACCAACAAGCTAATACATAATTTGCGAGTAAGAAATCAAAAAAATAAATAAATATTTCACCGTGCTCAATTTGCCAAATTCGTCGCTCCTTACCGCGCATTCCATCCGTTTTGTATTGTTTTGTCTGCGTTTCCCCCTCTTCTTTCGAGGATTTTCCATTGCCGAAAAGAACTAAATGCGAAGGTTGACATTCCGATCCGGGTTTTGCTCCATGGATCCACTCTGCTCAGTAGACTGATGCTGCGATAACGATTTGGTGCTAATATTCATGAAGCAGATCGAGTGGTTTTTTTTTTCATCATCTACCCTAGGCATTTCCTTTTTCCTATCAGTGAACCCTTGTCGCTTTGCGGTAGATACTGGCCACCACCATTGCCGGCAGCCACTCAAATATTTGACGGTAGACGAAAATGGAGTTTTAATTTACATGGTAATTGGTTCCATGAGATAATCGGACTGATTGGATCAGATGGAGGCAAACCCGAACTTTAATCAAATTGACTGCTGCTGCGGAACTCATTAGCCTGCTATTGGAATATTCCTGGGGGGGGAGGGCTTCATTTATAATTCGATGAAAAACAAAATGGAACAATCCGATTCCATTGACCCCACGTCACACGGTCTGGAAAATAATCCGTACATTATATTAATATTTCACATTCCGTTTGTATTTTCCAGTTGCTCCGGTTTGCCGACCCGGACTGGTGACGACCTACAACGTCGGACGGTACGAGCAATCGAAAATTTCCTGCGAACTGGAAGCCAACCCAACCAATGTGACCTTCGTGTGGAAGCATAACACGTCGGTTTCGGAAATGCTGGATATTCCTTCGGATCACGTGACCAGCGAGCGCGCCAAGAGCATATTCAGATTTAAGCCGATCAGCGAGAGTGTGAGTATTGACCATGGGGATCAATTATGCCGCAATTTTTACACTTTCAACAAACGCATTCATTACACTTTTAACAATGTTTCGTTGCGAGATGAGTCCTTTTTGAAAAGTCTAGTTGTAAGCGACGTATTGAATGATTTAGACTTGTGATATCAGGGAGCTGATAAGCTGCGGTTTCTAAAAAATGAACTTAGGGTCAATAGCTCATTTTTTAGTGAATCGGGTCTTTAGAACAGCTCGGGAGCGGATCACATATCTCTAACTATGACACAGCACGCCTGTTCCGTTGCCGGAAAGCGTGTTTGTTCGCAGTACAGCCTCGCTCTTGGGGTTTTGACAGTTATAAACCCACCAACTACTGAACGAGTACAACAAATTGATTTTGAGAACCTCTTGTTTCAGCGAGAATTGCTCAAAAAATCAAAATTTTTAAAATCACTGGCCACCGCGATTTTGACGTCTTCCAAAGAATTTTAAATTTGCCAACTAATAAACTCGGGGCCTCCCTTAGCTCATTCGGTAAAGGCACAGCTACAAAGTAAGACCACGCGGAAGGTGGCTGGGTTCGATTCCCGATCCGGTCTAAAAAAAATCTCGACCTCTCTGGGCATAGCGTACATATTGTACTTGTCACCCAATTATACTAATGCAAAAATGGTACTGAACATTAAGGCTCTGAACCATTTGGTGGATTATTTTAACTTTTGGTTAAAATTTGACAGATGAAAAGTTATCGATTAACCCTGCTATCCGAGCATGGTTATTTTTGTTAAATTTTGACAACCGTGGCTCGAAAACCGGTCGATCGACAGCACGGGGATTTTCGAACATAGAAAATAACTTTCGAAATGTCACTTTTAACCACGAGTTAAATTTAACTCGGCAAATGGTAAAACAAAAATATACATATTGAAGTGTATTTGGCAGTATTTCCCACTTTTTCTGAAATTGGAAGCCGCCATCTTGGATTTCAAGATGGCGCTGGATATCGATTTTTGGTCTCGAGACGTCATCCCGATTCCAAAAATATACATATTGAAGTATATTTGGAAGTATTTAAAACTTTTTCTGAAATTGGAAGCCGCCATATTGGATTTCAAGATGGCACTGGATATCGATATTTGGTCTCTAGAGGTCATCCCGATTCCGAAAATATACATATCGAAGGTATTCACTTTTTCTGAAATTGGAGCCGCCATCTTAGATTTCAAGATGGCGCTGGATGTCGATTTTTGGTATCTAGACATCATCTCGATTCCGAAAATATACATATTGAAGTATATTTGGAAGTATTTAAAACTTTTTCTGAAATTGGAAGCTGCCATATTGGATTTCAAGATGGCACTGAATATCGATTTTTGGTCTCTAGGCGTCATCCCGATTCCAAAAATATACATATTGAAGTGTATTTGGCAGTATTTCCCACTTTTTCTGAAATTGGAAGCCGCCATCTTGGATTTCAAGATGGCGCTGGATATCGATTTTTGGTCTCGAGACGTCATCCCGATTCCAAAAATATACATATTGAAGTATATTTGGAAGTATTTAAAACTTTTTCTGAAATTGGAAGCCGCCATATTGGATTTCAAGATGGCACTGGATATCGATATTTGGTCTCTAGAGGTCATCCCGATTCCAAAAATATACATATTGAAGGGTATTTGGCAGTATTTCCCACTTTTTCTGAAATTGGAAGCCGCCATCTTGGATTTCAAGATGGCGCTGGATATCGATTTTTGGTCTCGAGACGTCATCCCGATTCCAAAAATATACATATTGAAGTATATTTGGAAGTATTTAAAACTTTTTCTGAAATTGGAAGCCGCCATATTGGATTTCAAGATGGCACTGGATATCGATATTTGGTCTCTAGAGGTCATCCCGATTCCAAAAATATACATATTGAAGAGTATTTGGCAGTATTTCCCACTTTTTCTGAAATTGGAAGCCACCATCTTGGATTTCAAGATGGCGCAGGACATCGATATTTGGTCTCTAGAGGTCATCCCGATTCCAAAAATATACATATTGAAGGGTATTTGGCAGTATTTCCCACTTTTTCTGAAATTGGAAGCCGCCATCTTGGATTTCAAGATGGCGCTGGATATCGATTTTTGGTCTCGAGACGTCATCCCGATTCCAAAAATATACATATTGAAGTATATTTGGAAGTATTTAAAACTTTTTCTGAAATTGGAAGCCGCCATATTGGATTTCAAGATGGCACTGGATATCGATATTTGGTCTCTAGAGGTCATCCCGATTCCAAAAATATACATATTGAAGGGTATTTGGCAGTATTTCCCACTTTTTCTGAAATTGGAAGCCACCATCTTGGATTCCAAGATGGCGCTGGATATCGATATTTGGTCTCTAGACGTCATCCCGATTCCGAAAATATACATATTGAAGAGTATTTGGCAGTATTTCCCACTTTTTTCTGAAATAGGAAATACCAATATTGAAGAAAATTAACATTATTTCTGGCCTTGTTTTAAATCTACCTCCGTTTTAGAATGGATGGTTTCTTGTCGTGATCCCCCTTTTTAAACAACCTAAATAGACTTTGTCTCAGAGAACAGAATGAGTGACATATGACTAGAATAGATAGTCGCGACTGGATGGATTCTTGATTTTGTCGTGGTGATCTTGTCGTGTGACAAGAAATTGTTGTTTGACGAGAATTTTCCAGGATGACTATTTTTTAATGTATCTTGTCGTGCGTCAATGACAAACGCGACAATTCCCATATCTGCACTTGAGCCATCAGATGGGCTAGTATTGTTGTTCTGATTTGAACAAAGTTGATTTTGTGTGCAATGATCTTTGACAGTGTGCAAAGAGTGTTTCACTTGTCATTTTTTGTACGCATTTCAGTTTTGAGTAGAGTGAAAGAGATAGAACCAAAACATTCTAGTACATTTGGTGAAAATGCTAATACAATCCAGTAGTAGTGTTGCCATGTGGTACACTGAAAAAATATAATAGCAGGTTCGTCACCAAAGTTTTCGAGCCCCTCCGTCATTCACTTCGTTTGTAATCATACAGCATCATACTCTAAAGGGTGATACGGTCAAAATTTGGTCAATATCAACTTGACTTATTTCTTTCAATTTTGCATTTAAAAAACCTGAACACCCCTCATTTTGAAGGTGTGTGTGTGTGTAGAATGTTGCTCCTATTTTGATTTTGGAATTCACTCTTCAGTTGTCAAAATGCCGTCCAAGCAAGAAGAGCAGCGAAATCCGAGCTACTCGCACGCAAAGTTGGCAAAATCGCTAAAAGTTGCCAAATCAACCGTTACAAATGTAATTAAAGTGTTTGGGGAACGTTTGTCGACAGCCAGGAAGTCTGGATCGGGGGGAAATCGAAAACCGGAAGCCGCTGAGACGACAAAGAGAGTTGCCGGTAGTTTCAAGCGAAACCCTAACCTCTCTCTCCGAGATGCCGCAAATAAGCTGGGTGTATCGTCTACAACCGTGCATCGAGCCAAAAAACGAGCCGGACTATCGACTTACAAGAAGGTAGTGACTCCAAATCGCGATGATAAACAAAATACGACGGCCAAAGCGCGATCCCGGAGGCTGTACACGACGATGCTGACGAAGTTTGACTGCGTGGTAATGGACGATGAAACCTACGTCAAAGCCGACTACAAGCAGCTTCCGGGACAGGAGTTTTATACGGCAAAAGGAAGGGGAAAGGTAGCAGATGTTTTCAAGCACATGAAACTGTCAAAGTTCGCAAAGAAATATCTGGTTTGGCAAGCCATCTGTACCTGTGGCTTGAAAAGCAGCATTTTCATAGCTTCCGGGACTGTCAACCAAGAAATTTACGTGAAAGAGTGTTTGAATAAACGTCTGCTGCCTTTCCTGAAGAAACACGGTTGTTCCGTACTGTTTTGGCCGGATTTGGCATCTTGCCATTACGGTAAAAAGGCCATGGAGTGGTACGCCGCCAACAACGTGCAGGTGGTTTCCAAGGACAAGAACCCTCCCAACACGCCAGAGCTCCGCCCAATTGAGCAATACTGGGCTATTGTCAAGCGGAACCTAAAGAAGACCAAAAAAACTGCTAAGGGCGAGCAGCAGTTCAAGGCAAACTGGCTTTCTGCGGCGAAGAAGGTGGACAAGGTGGCTGTACAAAATCTGATGGCAGGGGTCAAGCGTAAGGCCCGGCAATTCGGATTTGGAAAAGCGGAAGCCTAACTGAATATTTTTCCTGAATTTTATACTAATTGAACTTGAAAAAGAAATTTAATTTGATTTTTTAAATAAACGATTTCACCGATTTACACGCGTTTTCCCTTGACCAAATTTTGACCGTATCACCCTTTATGCCCAGGGAAATCAATAAATATTTTATACCGAAAATACCTAGGCCAGACTGCGAATCGAACCCAACCGCCTCCAGCTTGGTCTTGCTTTATAGATGCATTTATGCCGACTGAGCTAAGAAGACCGCCTGTGAAAAGATAGATTCTTGAAATGTTGGCTGGGATTGATGATCTATTTGATTTATTGGTATAGTTTGGGACTTAAAATAAAGATATCAGTTTTTATGTAATTAAAGTTTGAGCAATTCAATTAAATTTAATCTTCTTAAAAAAAACCAATGGTTAACTGATAAATACATGATTTAAGTGGTGTTTTTTTAATCTACGTTGTAACAATATTCAGCTTGTGAGCTTTTTGCGAGATTGATGTGTTTTTTTTTTCTTAGACGTTATGGTGTTATTATAAAGTATGGTGTCCTTGACTGTTCCGGTAGGGGCTTGAATCTAGATTTCTAGAGAAAATAATAAAATATTTAATATACTGCATCTTTAAGATATTAGTTTACCTTCTTTATAGATTCGCATTCCTTTGAAATGAATTCTAGATTCTTAAGACGCTCTTTCATTATGTCAAGGAATCTCCAATGCATTGAAACATCTGTTAACGGATGGCGCAATTCCTAATAAAAAATATGCGATTGCAATATTGATCGAATTAAATAAA